ACAAAAGTCACGTGCTCATAAGCTACTTTCACGACATATCTACTAAATGGTCGCTTATATCAAGCAGCTGGAGAACAAAACTGGTATTTGTGCTATTTACACACAAACACATGCCGGTTAAGTCGCCGAACGCAACACCTATGAATTTCTATATGATCAGGCTATGAAACTGTCGTCCTCGTAGGCTTACATTAACTGGTCTATGAAAAGCAAGTAGGGAAGGGTGTTGTGCTTTGATATGGCAGCCTTACACAGGAGTCTCTTACAATGGTAACTACAACACATGGTTATTGTCATTATGTACGGTCATCATATACAGCATGACCAGATGTAGTGACATAGACTATAACGACGTGGTGAGGCTCCAAAAATAGTTTTAAAACAACGTACTCAACACCTCTATAGTAAGTTACGTCTCACCTGTAGTATTCCATTAGAAACAACTTACTTATTTCTGGAGGACAAATCTACAAATTATTCACACCTGGTAAAAGATGTTCCTTACTGTTAGTTTTTTTTTATCATTTCTCAAGTAAGCAAAGCAGCACGTTTTATTCTCAGGGGAAAGGTAAATAGTAATGATCTAGTTTACGTGTTTGAGTAATTTAACGGTTTCTCTTACCTAGCTGGTCAATAGTTGGAGATAGAGACAACGTGACTGCGACAAGGACGACACTAGTTATCAAGATGAAAAGAGACACCGAACAGATGACAATGATGACCATCTTTCTTCGTCTCGTTCCCTCTTCCAATTGTATGTTTTCTTTGTCTTGCTCGTCTTCGAAATTCTTGGTGGATTTACTCGGGACTCTAGAAGATCGACGAGCTAAGTCTTCGACACGGGAGGATCGACGGCTACTACTGCTTGACCTGCGGTCAGTCCGAGGGACTTCATTTTCAGAATAAGAATTCTTCCTCTTGTCTCTTTTCACCGGTATCTGTTGGTTGGGAACTTTCACGGAATACCGGCGACCGTGATCATTTCCGTCAGACAGAGGAGCAAGAAAGTGACTGCTTCTGCTGCGGGACTTGTGGCCGCTACTTTCGTGACATTCTTTTCCGTCAACGTTTCTTTCTCCGACGTCCAAACTTGGAGACTTACATCGTTCCGCGCGTTTTTTTCTTCGGAGGGTCTTTTCTCCAGGACTACCGTGCAATGATACGAGCGACAGATTGGAAGGTGAATAGAAGCTACTAGAATGTGGGTGGTCTTCCCTTTCGCCACAACCCTCAACACGGACGACCACACCGTCGTTCATACGACTAGCGGAGATCGCAGGTGATGACAAGCCCAACGACGACTGACCCACTGAAAAGGACTTCCTAAACCCAGATTTCTCTCCTTCGTGCTCGGTTACGTGAATGACCACTACGTCTGGAGTCAGTGTACTGGAAAGTTCAGTCTCACTCAGACGTGGACAATGTTTACGACTCTCTCCATCCTGCATTCTCATCAAATATTAATTCTAATTGAAAAGTTCACTTGAAAAACAAAATGTTTTAAAGATTCGATCGAAAAAAAAACTGTATGAAAATCAATTTAGTAAAAGCTCGTATACCCTCTCAGCTTTTATTTTTCATTTATTATTTTCTAAGACACATCTTATAAGAGGATTATAATACGAAATCAAAAAAAAAAGGGGGGAAGCGTAACAACTCCGGAAGTTGACTCGCTTTCGCATCAATAACAGAGAAGCGTTTGAGGAGAATGGAGAAGAACGACACTGATATCGGACGATGCGTTGGGTATCTGTCTCCACTGCGCACGCTCAGAGCTAGAGAAAGCGCGGGTAACATCAGCAGGCAAGCTGTGATGGATAAGTAGGTGTTGGTTGTACACAGTACTGCCTTGTTGATCAATATGTGTTGGTTTTTACACAGCACTGTATATTTGATCATTAGATGGTGGTTGTACACAGTATTACATTGATATTCATCAGGTAGTGCTTGTAGTATTTATACACAGCACTATATTACGGTTATTAGTTATAGTTTGTATATAGAGCTACATTGAAAGGCACTAGGAACGAGTACAAGGATTACATTCCATCGTTCCCAATTCATCCCTGCAAAACAAAATTAAAGTTTCCAAATTTTTGGAACCTTATTGCCTTTGTTCGAGTGATAATATTTTTTCATTATTGCATAACAACAATAATCACTAACATTTTATCAATACTTCTTATTTATATATATATACATTCAATAAATATTGTTCACCCATTGAAGCTAGAAGTTGTGTTATTCGTATCTTTGGATCCTCTATTGTTGCAAGTCAAATAGTTGAAATGAAATTTAAAAATATTTTAAAACATGCAAATTGAGTACGTACTTAAAGCTGTAGTGTTGTGTAATGTCTTCAAGGTAAGCTCGTGCGTTTAAAAATACTCGCAGGTCATTAGCCGAAGAAGGTTTCTTCACAGAAATAAACGTCGTCCTCATCAAAACTCCGAACAAATGTTACCTAAAAATAATTCAATAAGTTGTTTTATTGTTTCAGAATTTCGCGCGAAATTACAAAAAGACTCTCTGCGCAAATTCGACCCAATTCTGACGTGATACAGAGAAGACAATTAATCAACAGCAGCCACCGGAAACTATTCTTGTTTGAACAAGCAGTGGGAGTTTACAGCCACTCTTATAGCGCACTCATGTCTCCAAAGAGCGGAGCAACTTTTCATTCTAACGACTAGGCCACCCCCAACCTAGGTTTATTTGTTTTTTGTTGGGATTTCGCGCAAACCTACTCGAGGGTTACCTGCACTAGCCGTCCCTAGTTTTTGAAGTAATTTAATAGAGGGAAGGCAGCTAGTCAACACCATTCACCGCCAACTCTTGGGCTACTCTTTTACCAACGAATAGTGGGACTTATCGTCAGTTTATAACACCCTCACGGTTGAAAGGGCGAGTATGATCCGTGAAAGGGGTTCGAACTTGCGACCCAAATATTGCGAGTCGAGCGCTCTAACCACCAGGTCATGGCAGGCTTGCCCAACCCAGAAATCAATAGTGATGACCACTCGGCTTTAACTGCCATTAAAAACCTAAAGTTTAGCATCTGTATGTACCTGATGAAGGAAGAGGTAATATGATCATGTGCCTCATTAGGTATCTAGCGCCAGCGTAACATAGTTATAGGAATATATTTGCAGGCTGAAAGTAATTATTGTGTAACATTATAACTCTATAAGTCACTGCCTAATGTGTGTGTGTGTCAGCTGCTTGAAATGTGTGTCCTCGCAACGACTGAATTAAATATGTTTAGCCTTTGGGAAAATTAATAGTTATTGCCAGTTATTTACAGCATTTCAGAACCGTTCTCTTGTGATTTAGGGTTAAATAATGCATATTGCTTGTT